CAACTTGATGTGTTGGTTTTGATTGGCCAGGAAGAAAAATGTGTTGGCGTGTGAAACGAGCGCTTCTCTGAGCTTATGAGCAGTGTAGCAAGGAAGGCTTGCGTCAATCAATCAGCCTAATTTAGGTTGGTGGAGGCCTGAAGGGCAACTAGTGCAATTCCAGATCCCCCCACCCCAAGCAAGGCCAACACCGACGCTGCCTCAGGCTCCTCATCGCCTGGGCCAGGTGCTGGGAAAAATGTGTTGGCGTGTGAAACGAGCGCTTCTCTGAGCTTATGAGCAGTGTAGCAAGGAAGGCTTGCGTCAATCAATCAGCCTAATTTAGGTTGGTGGAGGCCTGAAGGGCAACTAGTGCAATTCCAGATCCCCCCACCCCAAGCAAGGCCAACACCGACGCTGCCTCAGGCTCCTCATCGCCTGGGCCAGGTGCTGGCTGCGTATATCCAAGGTGGAGCTGCCCCAGCCTCTCTGGGCCCCGGGCCAGTACCTCGCCATCCACCTTGCGAAAAATATCTTCCTACATCTAACTGACATTTCCCTTGTTGCAATTGCTGATGTTTTAAGTTTGTATTTACTTTATACAGACACTCAGCGTTACACCTACACTGAATTCAAACCAGGACAAGCCCAGAGCTATTCTACTGGACTAAATGGAGCTACAGCAACACGGAAACCAGCATCCTTAAATCCACAGCTTTGGGGGCAAGACACAAACCAGCCTTCCAGGCCCCTACACACATATAAAGGATTGGCTACTATCATCTACAGTGGTAGCAACAGTTTAAAGTGTAAAACGTGCATTCACTCGTGTATCAGCTTATTCACCGTCTCTTCCGGAACTCATTTCATAGCTATCAGTACACACACATGATTTATAAAGAGAAACTTTCTATAGGCAGCTTTATAATTGCCAAACCCAGCTGAGAGAAAGGTATTTATTTCTGGTAGAGAGAAATATGTTCTCTACTCAACTGCTGATTGGTAATATTTTTTAAAAGTGTCTTCAGCTATCATTCTAGGGTTGGAAACAATTTGGAGCCAGGCTCCAATTCCCTATGCAAGCCTCAAGTCACCTAGAAAAAACTGATCACATCATGGGCAGAGGTAGAAACTTTGTAACATAGCAGGTGGCGTTGCAGCAGTGACATCGTTGATAAAACAGGTAAGACTCGAACTAACTGCTCAAGATACCTACCACACACCAACATATCCATGTACCTGTTGGTAACTCTGAGCAGGCTTTCACTAAGGAATTTCAGCCTGTGTTTTCTACCCAGGAGCAATTCCAGATTCACTAACCACAAGACCTAGTACGTCCCAAACAGACAATGTATATATCAGCTCACAGGCAACCGGCATTGATCTTAAACATTCAAGTCATCTTATCATCGCCTCAATTACTGATTAAACAGTAAAACGCAGACACGCTAGAAAGTGGTAACAGCCTGTCCGATGCTGCATTCCGCTCCCCTTTTCCCTGGCATCTCGATTTTGAATGGAGTTACTTGCATTTTACTGACAAGTGAAGCTAATCGGGGAGAAAGCATGCGTACATGAGAAAGCGTTTATATGTATACCCATTAGGCAGATTCACAAGGTCATCACCTAAGCTCTTAATAGAGGGGTCTTCTAGCATAAGAGCAACAGGTGAAGCGTGCCCTCTGCCAGGGCTACTGGGCTGCGAGCGACAAAACAATCTCATCGGCTTCCCAAGGAAAAGCCACGTCTGAAGCACGATGAAGGAGCCACACCAGGCGCCACCCCCCACCTCTCCTCCTTCAGAGGTGAACATTTTACATGGCCAGAACACCATGTTTTCATGCAAAACCAACCGACACGAGTCTGAACAGCAGCTGCTTATCTAGAATTTCAGGGCAGAGCCTACCCAACTACTCAAAAAACACTTCAGCATGAAGTGGAATAAAAATATTGCCCCACCCCCCCCCCCTCTTCTTCTTCTCTCCTGTAGCTATCAGTTTAGGAAAAATCTTCTGAAGAACAGCCACATCTCTCAAGGAGTGAAATTTGCCCAGATTTCGCTTGGGCAAGTAAGGCACAGAATTCAAAGCACGTGACCCAATACAGAAGAATGAGTTGCTGAAGCTGGCAGTCAAACAAAGAGGACCTGTGGCTGCCAAAGAGTCTTAATTGCTGCTCGTAACTGACAAAAAGGAAAAAAAAAAAAAATCTTCCTTTCTGTTTTGCATTACTAGTGTGGAACAACTGAACCGGAATAGGTGGGTAATACCCTGGAAAAATACCTATGCTTCAAGTTTTGATAGCATCAAAAGCAGTACTATCTGTCTCTGAACTAAATCAGAGTACCAAATGGAACAATTCCCATGGAGCTAAAGGTTTCCATGACACAGCCTTTAAGGTCTTTTCTGTTTTGTCCTTCACCCAAAGAGCAACGGGTGCAGGGCAGGGAAGACTTCTGTTCCAGTCAGGCCTCGTCCATCGCCTCACTGCTATAAACTGCGGGTAGGTCCGGCCGTCCGGGACGCTGCTCTACAAAACCAGCGTTTCACACCACCTGTCATGTAGAAGCCTGTGATGCAGAGACCACCTGCATCCACATGTCCAAGCAGCTTCCTGAAAACATCAGAAAGCCAGGCCTGCGTATCATGAATTGGGACAACTGAAAATTGAGGCATCTAAGAGTAACAGACATTCAAAAAAAATCTCAGCTCCAGACTGAGAATGTCACCCTATTTCCCGGGATGCCAGAATGACAGAAGTCAGCTTTTCTTAATGAAAAGCCTTTTATCTTTTGCCGAGTAAGTCAAAATATCAGCCTGTGCTCCTCTGGATATACTTTACTGGAAGCATATGGTCATTTAACAGCAGAATTAAATACAGCTCTCAACTTTCTGCTAAATATCAGTACTTTAAATTATATCACTTGCTACACAGATTGCCTAAGAACCAACTTTGTCAGCATCTACAAGATAGTAGAGATTCCAGCAAGTCCTGATTTCTTATTTTACTGCTATTATTGCAACTGCCTTGAATTCTTATGTCAGGTTTAGCCACATACCTGCTAACGAGGGTTATGGCACTGCAATACCTGTTTCAACAGTGAAAAATAATACTGCAATAATTTCTACAGTGTTAAGAACAGAGCTGTTTATGCTGCTTTTAATTGCTGGAGCCTCCGCCTGTAGCTGCTGCTACTCGTGTCTTCTACTACAGTTAGCAGGATGCGCCACGGCCATGGATGGGTAGCAGTGCCACGTAGGCATGCTCACAAAGGTCTCAATTACGATGTCCTGTCCCAGCCCACCAGGGAGAAAGTCCGTGCCCCAGAGCCACCACTCTGAGCAAAGCTGTAGGATCAGGTCTTCAGGTAAGTAATGGGTTAAAGAATAAGGGCTTTTTGATAACAGACAGATCTTAAGTGACAATTTTTGAAGTCATTTCAGATGATTTGAGCCCACTGAAGATGCAGTTCTGTTCATTCAGTTTGACAGCGCAGGGGAGGGAATCAATCTTCAAAGCAGCAGCGAGAAATCAATGCAACCTTTTTCAGAACAAAGCTAGCACAAAAAGGTAGAGACAAATACAACATGGCAGAAGCCAGAATGCACCTCGGCATTTTTTCACTGCAAGTGCTAACTAGAGGTCAGGATGGGGGGTGGGCGGATGGCTTAGTGCATGCTCAAGAACACTTTTCAAAGCAGCAACATGGATTTCACATGCCTTTGTATTCCCAGCCGCATAGCTTTCGGATCATGAGAAGCCAAAGGGCTTCCCGTCCTGGCGATGCAGCAATCACAGCTTGCCCTGCCTTGGGATTAACTCCTCACACCACGTTTTATTTTTTACCACGTCTCCCACCTGTTCCCTTGACAAGAAGCTACGTTATTAAAATCCCACGGCTTTGGCAATGCTGGCGCTATTAGGAGAAATACAGACTGCTTGTTCTCCTTGCATAACTCTCCTGTCGTTTTCCTCCCTGCAGCGACTCCGCTCTCTTCCTCTGCACGTAGCGGGCTTCTCTTTTGCACAACTCGGCTACCAAAGCAGCTCCCTGTTTTACAGCCTGTGCAGATAAATACCTGTGATACTTAACCCAGACTTGTATACCCTCGTGTGCGTATGACTGTTTACATATACACTTGTGAGATGGGAAATAAACAAGCTATCAACTTTTCTCCTGTCTAATTCTGTACTCTTCCCATTAAAAGGCAATTACGGCGGATACAAAACAAGCCTTTGTATCCGCCAGAATCAAATGTAGCTACCTAACTAGACTGAGTGCTTAACAGTCCCCTTCACCTTTCAGCAACTGCTTCTTCTCTCTTTTCTTAGAAAAAAGAGGCAGCCTACCTTAGCATCCGCGCATCCATTAGCTAGGCTTGGTAACGGTCCTTCCACCTCCAGTAACCTCAAACAATACACTTGTCATCCCAATCACAAGAAAAGCTTTAACCCCAGCTTCAGCAACAGTAGCATTCACGCACTGAGGGGGAACGTAGTGCATGACGTCAGCTACCCTACTGCTGAAGTTAAGGTCTTGCCCGAGGCCTGGCAAGGACCCTAACTGCTGCGATGCATCAGTGTTGACAAAACGCCTTTGTGCCTTACCACAGCTAAGTCTCCTACCATAACGTTAGCAGCTCTAACGTCTCTTCCTTGTACTTGCCTCCACCAACAGAGGATATAAAATTCATCCTAAACGATCAAGTTACTATGAAGTTGCTAGAATTGCATCAAGAAGATACAAATTTACTAAAGAGAAATAGTAAAGTACCGTTCAACAGTTTTAGAATACTTCTGCACCTCTCTCAAGAAAACACCTTAGGGAAGACAACCCTTTCACAATTATTTGTATTTACGCAAGCTCGTTCTCAGCTCCCAGAACAGCTGCCGCCTTGAAACCCATGAGGCCGAACAGGAAAGTAACACTGATCACAATTCCTACAAGAAAGCCGGTAAAAGGGAGAGTGCAGAAAGGCGCATTTCCAACCCTCCTCTTTTTCCGAAGCGTCAATTTCTCCACGCGCATTACCTTTCTTGCCCAGAAAGCAAAAAGCTATCGGGAAACACTACAAACTAGATTAAGAGAGCTCAAACAAAATGGAGGGCTGATGGCACTAATTTAAGCCGAAAGATGGGCTGCTCAGTGCCAAGCGTTCTCACTCAAGTTTGTGTTTAAACATCTTTTAGCCCACCGAGGTTTACAACTAGGGCTTACATAAAACCTGTGAGGATCAGCATCTCCCCCGTAAGTTAGCCATTTCCTCTGTGACACACACAGTACAGCTTCCTGTAGCTACCAGAGACCACTTACTGCTGTCTACAATTTTTTTAGTAGTCACATGGATCTGATTTTTTTCTGGATGATTAAGACAGTTAATAGCCTGCTGGATTTTGAAATAAAATCCAGGCAATCAGCAAGCCTCCTCCACACAAGTCAGACATGTCACCTGTGTAAAAGAGCAACACCTTCTACACCCAGCGTTATGATTGACACTTCCTGCAAAGGAGGACGCTCAGGTAACTAATAACCAGTAACCACCCCGACTGCAGGAGAGCCCAACAGCCAAACCATTTCTGTTACCTGCAGCCATCTGCACGTGAGCACAGAACCAGCAAGCCATGAAGTTTAGACTCCATACAGCATCTCTTAGAAAAAGCAGATGTGATGTGTCCCCGACTTAGGGCAAACTTGGAACTCAAAAAACCTTTTGCCTGATTTCTGACCATCACCTGCTGAGCAGCTGCTTTTCAGGAAGGATCCCTAGCTGCTATCCAGAGCGCTCAGAGCTGCCTCCACAGCACGAGGAGAATTCCTGTCAGCGTAACTACCTTTCGCAGCACATCACTGACGGTCACCCACCAGCAAGCGGGAGAGTAATTTGCACCACAACGTCTCTAAAAAATGAGAGCAGGGAGGGGAAAAAGGAAACCACTACTGGCACGACCCATCACCACAGCACCAAAGTGCAGTGGGGGCTTTGGTAGTTCCGTGGTCTTATTAAAAGCGAAACAAAAAAGCCACCTTACAAGTTTAATACAGCTATGTGCGTCGGGAGGACTAGTATAGAAGAATTCCCTGCAACGAGCCACGAGAACGGCTGCACCAGGATCCCTCCAACCCAAGAACGATCAGCAACACGTCTGAGAACAGTACTCCTCCTCCCTTACATCCTCCCAGATTCCAGCAAGTCACTGCTTAGGTATTACCCATTTTCAGCACCTCCAACGACGTGCAAAAAATATCTCCCTGTGAAATTTAAGTAAACCCAGGGTAGCCAGTGAGCAATTAGCTAGAGGTAACACACACTGAGAAACCTCCATCCGTGATACGAAGTGCCCAGCCACAACAAGCTAAGCAGCTGAACTACTTCACTGAACACACGCAAAAAAATTCTGTTGCAATGATCTCAAAAACCAAGCACTGCTTTTGCAGTTTGAGGCAGTTATTGACATAATACCTTCCTCTTCCCCATGCGCTGCTCTCACAGGAATGTTACCAGGTAAGTTATTTTTGGAGACCTACAATAAACGGAAATAGCTGGTTAGTTCAAGCAGTATAGTCCCCAAAATAATGGCGCACTTCCATTTTAACACTGATGCCATTTACAGCCACCCACCCTTTAAAGAAATAGGACGACTGCCCACACATCACACCTACTCACCCTCTTCCTTCTTTGGAAGGCTCAAGGCACCAACTTAAAACAACTTGCTGCTCAAGGCTTGTCATCTTGCAGATAGCAGTAATTTGTTATCAAGTAAATGCTAAGGAATTGTGAAAATTTATATTTGTTCCCTTTATCTTAAGCAATTCTGTTCTCCAGAAACTTGGGGGGCGGGGGAAGAAAGCCCAAATCCAGGTAGTGCCTCAAAAGAGAATGAGGCCATCTTTACCAGACTCTCTCAGAAAGGGCTGCTTACTCCCTATTGGGAAGCACTCATTACTGTGTTTTGTTAGTCATTAAGAAAGCTTACTGAAAAAAGTCAAATCTGCAGTACTTAACTGATTCGAACGTTTTGCTCTGCTCCAATCAGTCACCAGATTTCATCAGTTTAAAGAGCGTTTCAACATACTATATTGCTGGCCAGCAACCCAGAACCTTTCCAAAACGGACCATGTCAGCAAAGACGGTAGAAAAAAAACACAATAAGCAACACAAGTCAATCTTTATTGAAAACTGAAGTATTAATACATAACAATTCTTGTTACAATAAACGTGCTTTTAAGAATTTAAATCTGAGCTCATCTACTCATTGAATTGCATAAAAAATAAAAAAGTATGAATTTTCACAATTGAACTGGCTCAGAATGGAATCTCCACTCTTTGTGTTGATGCGATAGTTCAATGCAGGAGTGAGTGATGCCTTAAAACTTATTCTGGAAGACAACATTGACCTAAACTTAAAAAAAAAGTACCAATATAACTGCTCGTAAGACAGTTTTAAAAAAAGTCATAAAAAGGAAACCTGTGTCTATTTCATAACAAACATGGAGAACTATTACTGGGGCCTCTTGTACTTCCATTGCATGCACTCACTTTTTCAAATCTTAGACATGAGGGCAGCCAATAATAGCATTACAATAAGAAAAAAAAAAAAAAACAAACACTAACAAATCCATTCTACTTAAAACAAGTCTGTACAGCAGCCAGCTAAAAAGGCTTTCCCAGTTTGCCTGCTAAGTGCCCAAAAGTCACAACAGCTTAGAAAAGTCACGTTCACTTTCTCGATGTTGAAACTTCAGAGCCCACGAACTGTTTAGAATATTTTCTTTCACAAGCGGACCCTTACTACCTGTGGAATTCAGCTGTTTCACTCTTCTATTCAACAGACAAAAGAAAAGGTTTCCTTGTCCCCAGATAAGCACCATTCCTCTTCCCTCTCTTCTCTCTGCAAAACACACCTTATTTTCTCTTACTTTCCCCCCCCCCCCCAGCAGAGGTGAACAGGGACTGCTGACAAAGTCCTCGCTAACTTGGAGATCTCAGAATGAACTTAACTCTTTGCGAGGCTCGATAGCCAAACACAACCCTAACTTTGCTGCGGTTGTTCCTTTCAGTGGGCCTTCTACCTCATCACTTCTGAGGGTCTCCACACGAAGCTTACAAGTTGGTAAAATACAAGATTAGAAAGCTGACACTTTAATGAAAACAATCTGAATGAGCTTAATTCTTCATGTCTTTTTAACAGGCGCTCGCAAACATTTCAAGGTGAGGATTAACAATTGCTTTCAACCCTCTGCAAACGCTAAGCTCGGTCAGTGACACCTGCTGGAGAAAAGCGGACGCGGCTCACGCCTATTTTCCTACCACTACTGCACAAACCACACCCTGGGCAACTGCAAGTTACAAGTCCACACACACAGCATCTGTCCTCTTCTCCCACAAGTTTCAGCTTTTGTTCGGGCTTCTGTGGCACGTACTGAAGCATCGCTATTGTTCCTGTTCCTAACACGGGAGATTTCGCATACATGGCATTTACTATTCTCTGGTATGAGTTAAAGCCTAGAGTTAGTGGTGGTATCAGATCGCCGTGCTTACCTAGTCAAGCAAAAACATGTTCTAGACCCAAATGAACGGTATATAAATGCTGTGCTTAAGCACCGGGGAGTGATTCCAAGTCAATTCTGACCACTTCTTGCTCAGATACCTGAAGTGGCCTATTGCCCAAGTAGAAGCAAAGCCAGAACGCTCCACGAAGAGTAGTCGACATGTCAAGTACCCTGGTATACAAGTCTGTACCATGAACTGCGCTCCGATAACACTAAGACATGGTGGTACTTACATTTTTTTTCAGTGGATGAAATGATACGAGGAAGAACTTCAACTAAAATGAAGGAATTTTGTAATCTACCACTGCATCTAAGCATTTAACTTGCATAGTACACTCAAAAGAAGCTTTCGTGAACAGCACGTTCCTGTACGTCTCCTAGAAACTTCAAACTGGAGATGTCTGGTTACAGTAAGCATTGGCAAGAGATAGTAGTAGGTTCTCTGCTCTCCTCCCTACTGTTTGGTTAATAACCACTACATCACTGGCTAGGGCTACGCGTTTTTGGTGCCAATTGTTAGCCACTTCTATTTTGCTGCTGCTACATTTAAAAGACACTTTCATCAGTTGTTACGGACGTAGGGAATACCTCAGTCTTAAAAATACTTCCTCTAAACTCAACACTTGAAATTTGAATAATAAAAAAAGAAATTTAACATGGACTTCTCTTTGTTATTGCTGCAACAGTTATCTTCAGTTCCAGGTTTAAAGTAGTACTTTTTTTTTTTAATCTTTCTTTTAAAGCTGCCATTAAAGTTTTTTTTTTGTTTTTTTTTCTTTTTTTTTTTTTTTTAAAGAGAAGCTTAATCTGAAACGTTTCTACTGCACTAGCTCTTTTCATTCTCTGAGAAGCTCTAGTGCAAACACATACTGCGCATGTACTTATAAAGGAATTCTAAATAGGGAATGTTACATAAAAAGCAGGAGAGAATGTTTCCTAAGACCCTCACTGTGTAAACGCCTACTTAATGATGTACAATTTCCCCCACCAGTTTTATATCCATGCTTTCTACTATTTGCAACAAAATACCATTAAGATATTTATATATACACACATATTCCCCCCATCCCCCTGCACTGTGCTTTTGGTTGCTTCCCATACCAAACTACCGGAGACACGGCTCCACCCTCCCAGTGGATTATCATCAGTCAAAACTGGAAGGCGCGATACCTTTTCAAAAAGGTACAGTTTCCCCCTCGTGGATGAATCCCATAATGCAACTTAGAAAAAAGTGCTCAAGTAAGTGAGACTGCCTAAATGGTATGGAATACTATACAGAGACCAATTCCAAGACAACATTTAGGAAATCTGAAGTCAGAGCAAAGATACAGGACATTATGTTCATTCCTGGACTATGAATCTAATGCAGCATTCATGAAAGTTCTCTCCTATGGTTTTCAAAGCTTTTGTTTATTGGGTGACGAGACAGGAGACAGCAAAGCTTAGAGCTTGTTCTTTACAGCTTCTCCCCAATAAAGCACTGTTTCACATCTCAACTCTTTTCATTACAATCATACTAAGACAACAAAAATCTCAACTCTATACTAGCGAAACTGGACAAACGGCCTGTACTAATAATGTTCACTGTACTCTCTGGCACACCCGACTAATCAAAGCTGCAAACCTACTACACAAATGGAATCGTTAAACAGACTTGAACAAAGCAGTACAGATTCAAATGGTTTGTCTGGGGTAACTTTCTGCTCCATATAAAAACATATGGAAATCCCTAAGCTGCAGTAAGTGCTCACGAGTAAGGTTTAAAGTACTTATTCTCAACACCATAGTTATGTTCAAGGCATTAGAAATAAGGGGGCCGTCCACTGACAGTGATCCATGCAAAATAATCCTAAACTTTATTCAACAAAAACAACAACAAAAAAAAAACACATGGAAGTAAAAAAATATGGAGAGTGCTTAATGTAAAAAATAAAGTTACTGAAGGCTCTAACCACCAATGGGTTATCAGGTACACAAGCCTCCCACCGGGGCAGAGTACTGGAATGGCAGCATTAAATCAGCACTGATGCTACCCTGAAGTAGCTGCCAAATCTGTATAGGAGCAGAACACCCCAAATCAAAGCACAACTAGATATACAACTTTAAAAAAAAAAAAAAAAATCACTTCTGAATAGAAATTAACCTACAAGACACTACAGCCTGATATATCTCTGTGTAAACGCTTAAAAGGGAACAACGTTTTATAACCACTTACTGCATATTTATTGCAGGTAGAATGTATCCAAAATAACAAAATCGCATTTTTCTGGAATCATAAATCATGCAGGTTTAAGAAAAACCTTGATTTTATGTGCAATATTCAAATTTAAAAATTTAAAATCTTCCCCATAACGATTTTGGTATACAAATGGGTTCTAAGGCTAGCCCTTTATCCCCACAGCATTTGCTTTGAGGTACTCTTTAAAAAATCGAAGTTGCAAGCAAGAACATCAGAAATGACTCATTACAATGAAATGCTTATCTGCAGTCAGTCTTATTTTACGTGCTTCCAAGTAAAACTTAGGGGAAAAAAAAAAAAAAAAGAAAAAAAAAAGAAAAAAAATCCTAAGGAATACACCAAAAAGCTGTAACCAACGAATGGCTCCTACTACAATTACAAATGTTTTCAGGAAAACTCCCCAACTCTACATTCTGGCAGCCCTACCTGGCAGCCCTACTAGAGCATATCCATAGCCCATACTGCAAGAAGCTAATAAGGAAATTGTGTTAAGATGGTTTGTTCCCCTTTAACATACTTATCAGGCACACAAGCCTTTCTCAGGATAAGATGCAGCTGAACTCCTCCTGTCTGTGGTGGAAAACCCTAGCATTTCTTAAATTTCAGTAAAGCAAGCTGAGTCAACTGCACATACATTTTCAACTATGATATTCTTTAGGAAAAACAGCATGAATTTCCTGAACTGAGAACTAAAAGAAAATGTTTTTCTATCGGTCTGCGTGGCAGTCTCACTTTGACACATCTTGCACCGTATGAAAGCTTGGACTGGATACATCTCCCCAGGATGTATAATTCATCATGCAGGTGATGTCACCTCTTCCTAACAGCAAGTATTTGCCTCAAGGAAGCTTGCTTTAGTTACCTGCACATAGCATTACCTTTTTAATTTCATTGTGATCTTTAAGAACATCTGTAAGAACATCTGTATAACACTGAATCCATAAAGCAAAAATGATAAGGTATGAAGAAAACTAATTGTGTGCAGGATTTCTACAGCTTGTCTGACTCACTTTCCAGTCACTCCAATTTGGGTTAGTTGAATTTGAACAGAATACATCACTTAAATTAAAAAAAAAAAAAAAAAAAAAAAAGTGCCCCTTCTAAACTGGCAACTCCATCAACCTCAAAAAGGTTGAAGCACTTATCTAACGTATATTACGGTATTCTATAAAGAAACTCACTTTCATGATTCTACCTTTTAAGACCCTGCATACATTACAACAGTGCATTAGTGATACAAGTTGTAAAATACTTTTCGGTTCCTTTGGATTTGCATATGATGGTTTTTGCATCAGTCACTGCAGGTAGATTGAGCAAGCTTTGTTTTTGTGTTTTAACATGCATTCAACTAGATATGGATCAGAATAAATTTATACTCCCTTTTTATCATTATAATTAGCTAAAAAATTGCAAGACAGTCCACAAAACAGGATTTGCTTTAAGACTAACTGCTGGAGTTCCAAGATGTAAGATATGCAGCACTGGAAAATCTTCAGTGATCAGGAATTAGTAGTGTTTAGCCAAGTGTTGAAAGCATTCAGAAGAAAAGTCCTGGTTGGAGGCATGAGGGCTTCAGCACCAACTTTTAAACCTCAATTTCTTGATTGCATATCTCCCATCTTCAAACCTACATGGCGGATGTGGAAGGGGAGGAAGGAGGGGAAAAAAAAAAAAACACACAGGGAAAAAGCTCAATTAGGTGGAAAACTATTTGAGTGTGGTAAAGCATTCTAACGCTACACGCTCCGCAGCGACGGGCATACGCAACAGATGTTAAAAAGTATCATCTAGGGCTACCCTAGCACTCATCTAGTCAACTGAAATCTCTAGCTGCTAATTCTATAGGTCGAGGAGAAAAAAATCTAGGTAAGAATTCATTACATTGGTTTTCACCCGTCATCTTCATTCCGGCTTTCTAATGACACTAGCAGTTTTGTTCAAGTAGGAGTTGTAATATTAAAAAGGTGTTTTATGCCCAAATTAATTATCACAGTCATGAGCTGAATCACAGCAACACTCTCACTTTTTATACTCGTGCACTATGACATCCTTGGATGAAGTGAGCTTTGCGTGTGAAACATTTCAGATCTGCAGACTGATATGCAGCATCACAGCGAAGCGAGAAACAGACTTTACATGACTGGTTCTAAGGGCAAACAACCATCCGTAATCAGAGGAATCTGGGCTCCTAATCACTGAAACAAAAATCCAAAGTAAAAATAAAGTTAACTTTATCATGAACTAACTGGACCAAAAGTGAACATTTCTAGTTCAGTTGGTCTGACAAGCACTTAATGTCAATGAAACTGCTCCCAATTTATGCTAAAACAACCAGGAGCGCTAGTCAGAATCCCAAGAACATCAGGCTGCATGTCCATTTGACACACGCTACTGACTGAAGGGGGGAGAGCAAGGGGGGGGGGGGGGGGAGAACCCCCAACAATCCACCTCATGGCAAATTTCTTAACCAAACTCCTTTTCTCCAAACAAACCCACTATCGGAACTGCGCTCCATGCTAAAAACGATCTTGCCGAGGTAGCTGCAAACAGGGCAAACGCATGAAATTAACTTGGGATTGCTTATCTGCTTCTACAACTTCTGAGAAAGAGTCACCCCTCAGAGCAACGCAAAACGCTCATTTCGGCTACATACTTAGCCCACCCAAAAATAGATAAACTACCAAGTTATACATGTTGCTTCATTCAGGGATCACTGCTGAATGCAACGATTACCAATCAGCCCGAAATACTAAGGTAAACCTTCAGTCCCAGATGGATTTTAATGAGGCAGACTTGAGACTAATCCATTTGTATTCAACATGGAATCATGAACAACAAAAATTACCGCAATTTCTGAAGATACAGATCACTGAAGAAGTCCCACTAGGTTTCTCTCCTCTGCAGAGGAGAGCTTTTACTCGAGCAGTATTTTTCGTGTATTCTTACTCAATTAAAATGCTGTAGAAGTACCCCGGACTGCTTACCTTCTGAAAAGGTCTCCCTGAAAGAACCTGCAGGGATGTCATTTATTAAAATAATTTAGCTGTTTTCAATCTAAGCCGGTAACTTACACTGCCAGGATGATCACCACTGTGGGGGCACATAACTATAGGCTGGTGTTCCTGGAGCCCGATACGTGGGCATAGTAACTGGATGAGGGGCTACTGGAGTTGGGGAATGAGTCGTCAACAAAGTACCTAGGACAAAGAGAACATTTGGTCAGTAAGTATTTTCACAAATTCTAGTACTAGAAAAGCACAAAAGAGTTGGTTTTGTTAAAAAAATATAGCTTGTTCGTCTTCCGATTTAAAAATATCAGTATTGTTTTGCACTCCAGCCCAAACCTTCCTTCAAACATTTTTGCAAGGCAATCATTTCGATGTTTAGTCCAAAGCACATAAAGACCATTCATTACACAAGAACAGCTTTAGCAGAAACCCTGCAACATCAGCACATTATACACCAAAATACTTTTTTCTACAGCAGGCCTTACATGCCTTAAGAATATTTGACAGTAAAGACACCTGACCGATAAATCAGAATAAATTAGCTCCTGTCTGCACTAGTACCAATAGGTTTTTACAAACTAAGGGGCCACAGAAAAGAAAGAGGCTTAAGATAACAGGATCTTAGCAGCCTTGTTCTACAGTGTTTTCTATGAACGGTTGCAAACACTTGTCAGTGCTTTCCCATGAAAACTGAAACATGAAACCGAAATAAATTCTAAGTTTAGTGAGCTAGTGCAGTTTGTGACACATCACTCCACTAGATTTGGGATTTTTCGAATTAAGTGATAAATTTGACAAGATACAAACCAGAATCTGAAAATAAGCTCACGACTCCCATTTTTTAAACTACTGAATTAAAGAGCGGCTGGATATTTCTTTGTTTTTGAATGAAGCGTGGCCATTTCTTAGTAAGTTAACACCCACTGGGCAAAAGCATGCCACCCTCTCAGCAAACACTCAGAGGTGAGACTAGGGTCTTAGTTAAACAACATTTTCACCAAACATTTTAACTAAAAGAGAGCGGCATTAGGAAGCTGACATCCCTAACCATTGCCCAGCCTGATCGCAGAGGACCTGCGGGCACTGCAAGAACATAAAACTATCTCAAACTCAACACACAAAGAATTCCAGTCAGCAATAAGAGGGGAGGTTGAGAGAACTGCCTTAAGAGGTTGCCGTCTTCAACAACATACTGGAAAGATACAGAAAAGATGAAGTCAGACTTAGACAACGACACGATGAGAAAGCAGCAAAGGATAAAAGAACGTGTGACGTTCCATACAGATATAAAGAACAACTATTTTACCATAAGGCTGGACAAATATTGGAAAAGGTTGTCCAAAGAGGCTGTGGAAGCTCCACGCCCGGAGATAATCAAAACATCACTGGAGAAGCGAGCAACTCATCTAGCTGGACCCGCTTTGAGAATGACCTGGAGAAGTCCTTCCCAATCCACATTACTTTCATTCTGCCTGGCACACCTGCAGCATTGTATTTTTATAATGCTGCTGTGTTCTGCATCAAACTGAATAAAGAACTTAAGTAAGTAAACTTAAGGGATGTAAGTCCACATACCTGCTGACATTGCCATAGTAGTCCCAGCCACCATCCCCATAGTCACACCATTTCCTCTTGGTGGCGGAATTGGAGCAGGATACATAGTTGCTGGCATGCCATTCGGCTGCACAACTGTGGTGTGATGAATTACGTGGGGTGGTGCTGCATATAAAGGCTGCGTGTAATAAGTGCCTTGCTGTTAGGAAAGAAAAGTGAATTAAATGATTAAGTATATCTGGTGGGGAAATTACACAGATGGTATCTTCTTTCACGAACACTGTCACAAATTAAAGTCCTACTCTAAAAATGCAATATGCTTACAGAACAGAAGTCAGAACGCTTGTTTCAACTCCTCTGAGCTGTTCTGTTTCACTGGCAAACTTTGTATCGTTTAGCCCCCTTCCTAAGGCTTTTCGGGTAACGCTCAATAGCGGAGACCTTTGTACGCCCCTGCAGACTGCACCTTCAACAATAAGGGCTGATACTTCACTCATTCTGTTTGTTTCTTACCTTTTCATAGATTAATCCATGATAGAACTTCTCTGTTATCCTTTCACAACTTTTTTATTCAGTTGCTTTTAGTCAGAGAGGCAAAGGTTTTGACAAATCCAAATACGCGAGGCAGACTGCATCAGCCTGGCAACGTGCTCATGAATTCCCTTCAATTAGCGTATAAGCCAGGCCATCCTCTGTGTAAAAGGGGGCTGACTTTTCCCCCCAAGTACCATGTTTACGGAAGTGTCTATTAATTCTACTCTTTATTAACAATTTTCATCAATTTGGCTGGTATGACACTTGGTAGCTCCCTGAATCTCAACAGAGGCTTCAGAGAACGTTTATGACAATTTTTGACAAAAATGAAATCAGGATGCAGTAGTTACAGCTTCCAGCGCTCATTCTAAAAAATGCTGAACCTACTCCCTCTTTAAAGAGCAAACACTGCTCAGTGAGTACAGAGCAACCGTCACGTGAAACAGGAAATGTAAATGTGGGCAAACATAAAACGTAAAGTACTGTGTTAAGAGTTCTCACGAAAAAATAAAGGTGACATAGGACTCATAGTTCCATAGTTATTACACTGAAAACAAAATGCTATCCAAGGAGAAGAAAGGTTTTGTTTACCTGTGCATACGGATTCTGCTGTGGATAGGCACTTCGAACTGGGTACACAGCAGTCTGATAGGGGTTCGGTGATGAAGAATATGGTGGCACCGCACCGCTAGTGGGTGAACAAGATACTTTATATGGGGTGCCTGGTGTATAACCTGAAACAAAGGTAAGTCTGCATTAAAAATATGAAAAATAAGGGCCAGTACGTTACTTAATGAAGTCAGGGTAACAATTTTCGGAATTTCTAAGTTTCTTAATCTTCATGGTTAACGCGAGTACTTAGTAGGCTAGCCTCAATACCCATACTTAACTTAAGAGGTCTTTTATATAAAACACTGTTAACAGTCTGTCTGTAATACTTGACTGCCTGTCAAGTTAAGAATGAGAAGTTACTGCATTTTTGCACTTCTTCCCCCCTCCCCCTCACCCCCCCCACTCGTTAATATTATCATTAAATACTTGGATCCAGTCTTTTAGACAGCACTCCTACATAGGAGGACTTGGCATAGGTTAATGACAGTCCAGTTCTCAACACACCTGAAATTATAATTGCACAATATGATAACGGGGAAGCAACCTGCATTTACCTTCTGTAGAATATGATACAGCACAAGAATAACTGTGTTTCACAAGTCAGAATCATGCAAAAGCTCAAGATGGCTTTTCAGAGAACAGACAGACACAACGTACAACCTCCACTTCAAGTTACACTTATTCACGCTTGTTTGCTGGCACCTTCGGAACTAAAATAAACATGAAAGATTATACCTTTAAAACTTAAAATGCCACAGTCCGTGTGCAAACGCAAATTAGACTCTGAAGGCACTTGAATACCCCTATACCTCACTTCTGCATACTTCATATGTTGACACGTCCTTCACGATCACTTAAGAATTGTTTTTATGCACCACGATAAGACGACAGATGCCACCAGAGAGAATTATTTTTCATTCCTGTTATGAAGCCCCTAGAGTCAGTCTGTCTTGCGTATGTTGGGAACTGCTCAATTTGTACAAGAGTAAGTAGCAGCTCTTGGCTCAGACACTGCCTGGAAGACAAACTTCTTCCGTAATTCCTCCAGCCCTTGTCAGACCCAGCCTCAGAACAGCAGCACAAGTGGCTGAACTGGTACGGAGACCTGTGAAAAGCACCATCCCTGCCACAGTACGTTGGACGGTACCCTCTAAGATTACACTATGGCTTAATGGTCAGAGGAAGTATACAAAAATGGTATCAGCAGTATCCACTGGCAGTGAAACTGAGGGCAACAGAGAACAGCCCTAACCTATTCTGGGAAAAGGTCAAAGCCCGAGCCTGCGCTACCCTGAAACGATCTCGTGCCTCATGCGGGCCCACCACTCAGAGACGCAGCATCCACAGCGGGTAAACCCTCTACACCTCTGACCCAGCTGACAGATGTCATGAAACTGATGCAGAGTAGTCACCATCCAACTCTCTGCAGCACCCACCAGTGGGTATTACAGAAGTTAAGCCCAGAAGTCTGGCAACTTTCCCTTAAAAATAAAATGGAAAAACCCCAACACACTGGCAATAGCAGCTAACGTACCAAACCCTAGAGCTCCACGCAGTTCTGCGCACAGATTTCCCTTAAAGTTACTGAGCCAGTTCAGTCTGCTGCATGGTAGGGATAGAGATTTATTTATTTACGGAGTCCAAAATCAACAGGATGTTTTCAAGCATTACTTTAACTCACAAGGGATTGGCAACTATCATTCTTCTATGTAGGTTAAATATATTTAACACCAGTCAAAAATACTCATTTAATGGTTAGAAAAAACTGTGGGTTTTAAGAACGTTTGTTACGTGTAAAAGTCATCACCAGTCCTATGTTCAAAGTAGGAGAATCTTCTGACGGTACATTTCAGTTTCATGTGCCACTCCTACAACAAAAAAAACTACATGCTCCTGATCACAATGAACTCCACTAGAAGAACCTAAACTATAAGACTAAGCTCAGACATTGGAAAGCATCTTCTTAGTATATGGCTAGCTATCCAAGAAACAGGTGACTGCGATTTAGGAAAAACTCTGGTTGAGAAACAGGTACTGCACTGAACTACATCACCAAGCCAGAAGCAGACTTAGCTGTCCGCATAAGATAGGTAGATCACTGCTTTTGTTACTCTGCTTCTTTGGCTTGTAACGCCTTTGTCAAAAGCGGCTACTCCAGAAGTCCGGTTCTGGGTTCAGAAGTCTCACTTGAACAACAGAGAGATGCTGACAGCTGCTTTAACTGCTAAATATAGGGTCCATATGGGTAATAAATACATGTTACACGGTCTGCAGAGAAGGAGAATTAGTTTTAAGAATTAATTTAGCACGGCGAGGTACGAGGATTCCCTCAGCTTTAAGATCCAGTCAAACCTAAAGTTCCTACATTCAGAACGTGGGAAGACTTCCATTTAGCTGGAATAGTACTAACTCGTGCCAGGAGAACACAAGAAGAGAACTAAAAACACTTGGCAACTATAGCAAAAAAATTGAGACTACAGGAGTAGAGATGAAGTTGATTTTAAAAACTACTGAGCCTAGAGCGTGCCGACTTCAGTACTGAGAAGATATCTGAAGCCATATAGCATTTACAACACTGGTATTTCTGTGACAGGGCAGGGAAAAATCCATTTGGGCAGACAGCGTCATGACAGATCACCTTTATTCTTTTTGCAGGAGTATGTGTTTCTTTTCATTTCTTTCCACTCTGCATGCAGAAAATTGTCACGTTAACCACTAAGAAAGTAAGTTTAATATGTTATTTTTAGTAACATTTACGACCTTTAGAGACACCAAAACAGGCAACCACAGCACTAGTCCAAACTCTATTGTTCTTTACAGAAACCCTAAATAAGTTGAAGGGTAAGGCTTGCCGGGGAAAGAACCTTTACTTCCAGTATGGGGAGGTATCTGTGTCGAAAAAACGCCAAGTTTCAAAACGCTGGACACATAGCATTGCCACTGAACTACAACTATGTCGCCAGTGAAGCCCACTCATTCTAAAATCCAATCAACTAATACAGGTGCACAGGAAATTTGATTCTTGTTAAGTGGTATATCTGTACGAGAAGTCTTCTGCCTTCCCACTTCATTTTTTCCTCCGCCTTTCAGCGACAGAAGGTTTTAAAAGTAAACCGTATGGTTATTCAAACAAATTTAAGGAAAACACCCGTAAGAATATACCTGTTCTGAACAGCAATGTCATGGCACATTCAAATACTACTGCACAATGCAACTTTCCAAGGACTTGGATTACGCACACAAGCAGCTATATCAGAAAAATACTAATGCACGTTTTCCAGTAGAAGTTAAAAAAAAAATCCCAGCTGTTAGGATAAAGTACTTCAAGTAGTTACCAGTCTTAATTGACAGATCTGGATATTTTGAATTTCAGGTTTTAAGTGTAGGTGAAAACTAAAACCACTCTTCTCTCAGTTCTGAAATAAAAGCTTGTTTTCCATTCAAGAAGAAAGACTCTAATGATATTAACTTCAAGAAAAATTAAGGACATTTGAGGATGGTGAACAAAGTTTCTATATATCTTTATTCCTTTTTCACACACGTGAAATATTTCTTACCCTGGCTTCATTGTTATGCAGCATGAGATAATATTCCAACATTAATCAATCATGGTGAACAAAGCTTCTATATATCTTTATTCCTTTTTCACACACGTGAAATATTTCTTACCCTGGCTTCATCGTTATGCAGCATGAGATAATATTCCAACATTAATCAATGCAAACTAATCTTAAAACATGATTAAGTCTAACAGATCAAGAGTCTTCCCAGACAAAAATATAGCCTTCTATTACAACCTCATTGACATGAGGAAAAAAAAAAAAAATCCAATCAACTGGATAAAAATGATCATCATCAACACGATTTGGTAAATTGATTACATATACCTTAACTTCACAGGGAATATTTCCACGACGCCAAGCCTACCGAAACAGCTGCTCTCAAGCCACCATCTGCCGACCAGTAGTAGTTTAGAGTTCGTCCTAGGTTTCTGTGGACAGCTGGAGATTCAGAAGTAGCTCTAACTTCCTGCTCCCCCTATCTTCACAGCCCCACTTGAAAGCCAGAACTGCAACAGGATCTGCAAACTGCAGCCAGTCCTAAGACTGGAACTGATGATATACACAATGGAGCACGGATCTCCATCGCTAAGGTGATCTCAACTGTGAGACTGAAGGGCCTATTAGTAATGCAAACTGGTAACAAAAACCCTCACAGGGTTCTTGATTCCCATGCCAACAGCTGCATCCCTGATTGGAACAGCTTTCCCTTGAACTTCATTTCATGCTGGAAACTGTTCTTAAATGATTCAGCGCCCATGCAAGCAAGTACCCCTTAGTTTTGGTAGTTGCACACAGACAATACCCTACCCAAAAGGTAGATTTTTTTGAATTACTGGAACTTATTATCCCTATCTGCTTCCCTACCTTATACATTCAAGATTGCAGACAAACCAAAAACCAGCTCTGTACTTGCTATGCCTTCAAACAGTAAACCGAACAGAAGACGCCGGTTATACCAACTAAAACACCACACAGATCCAAGGAGAGCTATACAGCCACATACTTTTAAAAGCTCTACAGACAAAAAGTTTGAGATGACTTAACTCTCCCCCCTTCCCTCAGTAACTGCTGCCATACCCTTCTGAGAAACGAAGGCAGATGCAGGACCTCACAGCCTTGCAGAAAGACTTGTTTCTTGTTTCTACTATGATCAGTCCGCCTTCCTTGTCATACAGAGTCAAGCAAAAAATGCCTGTTTCTCTTTGTGGAATACAATGCTTGCGTTACCGTTCAGCTTAAAACTAGGTATCCAGGACTTGGAGGTACAATTGGGAGTGATATTAAGACTTCACGACTAACAGGAATCTCCTGGCAGCTAATGAAACGCCATACTTCAGAAACACTGAACTTCAGTACTGCCAGCAGGCTCCCACAAGATAACTTTCTAAATACGAAATACCATCCCCTTTCCTATCCCCATACACTACACAACGGCATTCAAGGCTAAATTTGCAGATGTGTACATGTTCTTGGAAAACTGGCATAATATATGCAACTGAAAGAGTTCCTGAAGATGGCCTCGCTGTACATTAATAAGGCAACGTAAGGAATTCCTCAGTGGGTAATAACCACCTCTCAAGGAATACTTCTCTACCAAATACATACTCCTAGCCTAAGTGGAAAGGAAACAAAAACAGCTACCAGTTTCTGTTCGAAGCATTAGTACATCAACATCATATTATATTAGTGAAAATAGAATTACATAAAAGCATCTTATACGAGCACTTTGGTTTCTCTTACGTCTATTTTCTCACCTCCCTTTTTCTAGGCATATCACATTCTCTTTCTCTTAATTGAGAGGCATACAAGTGTAACTACCTAGATCCTTCCAAATGACCTGCTATGGACAAGACAGTTTTGCCCAGCAACGAGGCTTTTCAGGCAATCAACTTGTGTTAGATAATTCTGAGGGCAGAAAGCAAGCAGCAAGTGGAATTTGGAAAGAGATATGATCTAAGAAAACAGAAGAATGGATTTTGAGGAAACCCGTCAAGCAGATAAATGGGGGGAAGAAAAAAAAAAGAGTTAAAAGCCTGGAAATAATTGGTAGGACGCAAAGCAAGTGAAGTCAAAGAAGCACTGAAGGGAAGGGTACAGTGCAAGCTTTAAAGTCTGAAATAGGGAAGCAACAGCTAGAAGAACTCAGCTTTTCCCTTCGCTAAGGGCGAGAGCAGTAGAACGTATCTGAAGACAAAATTATATTCATTTAAAATTTATCAGATGATTCTTTGAGTCACATTCAAAGTCCTGTAAAACCTATCCCACAGTACAAGTATTACCTTCTTCCTCAGCCTTGGTTCTAATAATTTCTGAACTTCAAGTGATTGCTTAGACATACACATTACACATACCTGCTTGGAAGGTAGGATTTGCTCCAGGGTACATATTAGGGGAATAGGCAGGAGCAGCCGCTGCATAGCCCATTGGGAAGCCAGCTAGAAGAAAGAACAGGTCAGAGTTATTTTCTAGACTAACTGCACAGTCTAGCTAAGCTTTACTCTCAAAAGGTTCTCACTGTACGTCTTTTCAATCGAAACGAACTAACAGCCTTTGATCGCACTGTCTCAACCAAAATACTGTACTGCTCTCTTCTGCCAAGCCAACTGAAGCTACATGCCAGCTGAAGAGGACAACTACAGAACCAGAAATACCATTCTTCCTTTAAATTCCCTTCTGTTTCAGCAAATCTCCAAGCTGGCCAAGTAACTCTTAACGATAGTTGGACAGCAAGTTTTTGTGCAACAGCCCAAAACCCCATGAGTTTTAAGAACTGAGGTACATAAAATATTCACCGGAAGGAAAAAAAGCCTTTTGCACAGAAAAAATGCAATCTTCAAAAGCCTGAGTGACTCTGACTTCCCAGGTAAGGAAAGCACAAAGCAACCTTAAGCACTCCAAAACGCTTGTTTCATTCAACAAAGATTCGTTGTTATGCTCATACGTCAGGCAAGCCCACCCGCTTCAGCCGCATATTACGACACTCAACAGTATGTGATTCACTGTGGCAGCAGCGAAACGGTAGATAAAACCTTCTACACCACAATACAAGAACCACTGTGGCTAAGCTAACATTGTGAAACACTGGTCTCAAATATCAGATAAAAATATCATTAGCAAAAAAACCCCACCCCAAAACGAAAACAAAAAAGTTACTCAAAAGATACAAAGTTTGTTACAGCGTAGTAAGTGAAACTGCTGAAGTAAACCATAGCTATTAATTTTTCAGTAACTTGTGAGTTTAATGATTCTGAATGGATAACTAGCAGTTTTTCTATCAGGAAAGGCAAAGAAAGGAGACTTAGTCAAACAGTAATTAAAAAAAAAAAACACCGAAAATGCAAGCCTACTTTCAGTTTTATAGAATGTTTTTTTATTTATTCTGTGGTTTTTAAGCCAGAATTACACAGCTCAGTAAATTATTTGCAACACTGCAGGAGTAATTGACTAAGCTGACTTTAGAAGGCATATTTGTATAAATGACTTAATTCTGTAATGAAATATTTTGCATGATCATTTCGAGGCATGGCATTTAAGGCACTGTTATAACACCTTTACTTAATTTCTATATATTTCAGTTATAATAATTTACAACCAAAAGACGACTGGCAATATACAGACTATATATTATAGTATAATAAAAGATTAGAAGTTCTTAGGTTCTAATGTTGCTTAAACAGCTAGCTACAGATCTAAAATAGTGTACCTTCCCAAGTACATAAAAGTACCACTTTCATTAGTATAAAGGACAGCTTTAGGGCCATGCGTAAATGGTCACATGCAGAAACAAAAACCTTTGCTGTTCGTATATATCTATATTTAGAAAAATGAAGAGATAAAAAGGCAAGCAGTATTTAAATAATTCCCGATAATCTTATCTAAAGCAAGAAAAAAAAGCCTTGAAAATGAATACAGAAATAAATGTGCTGTAATTGACACTAATCAGTAAGCTACCACAGCTTGACTTACTATACTATTATTACAGCCCATATAATTAGTTAAGAGCGTTATAGAGAAGAATGAGACCATCTTTCTGGACTGAAGGATACCACAGCCTCAGCTTTGCAGTTTATTACTGCACCATTTCAGTCACTCAATAGCTTTAAAACCGTTGCAACATACTTTGTGTCTTCCCCTTACAAAGGCTGTGGAAGGTTAAGAAAGGTACACTAGTGTGAGGAAAAGAATGAAGCATCTGAAAAGCAAAAGTTAAAATTAAAAGGGTTCAGAGAAGACCAAATCACAGTAAAAAAAAAAATTCACTTATGCACCAGATTTTAGGAGAGGAAACAGTAATATGGAAAAGAAAGGGAGGGAAGTACCCTACCTAACCTGAAATACAAATTAAAAAACTGTAAATACCAATAGGAAAATATAATATCGATACAAAGAATATAAACAGTAACAGCACGGAATGAATTCTAGCTCCCAATGACGACACCAACTAAATGACTAAACAGTCTCCCTGGAAAAACAATGCGCATTTAATCGGCTACGATATGTAAAACCTGTGTTGAAAAGACCCTCCAGTGTTTCCCAGGATGGAACAATTCACTTACACCACACACATCAGAAATAAAGAATTATCAAGACGCTGTCGTCTGAAGCGTTTCACAGAGGCACACGGTCCTTCACTTCAGCCTTCTCCCTGCAAAGTCCTCTCCAGGTCTAACTACTGGCTTATTGAACTTTTTAACTAGAAGGATCTCAGAAATGAAGCCTGCTCACATTCAGTGTTTAGAGGTGGGGGGCAGGGGGAGAAAAAAAAAAAAGTGAGAAATTTGAAACCAAATGAGAACCAGAGACCAAGAAAAACATGTACTTCTCTCATTTTAAAAGTTGTATTTGCCATTCTCTCGGTCTCAGCTTTGATGCTATACTTCAGGCAGTCATAAGACAGTATTTGATGCACCAGAGCAGAAAGGTTTACAGCGCCAGCCAACTAGAGGCAGAAACAGATTGACTCCTGCTCTTGCAGAACAAAAATTACTAGAGTTCCTGGGATAAGATCTTGATTACAACATAGATCAACGTAAAGGATGTTCACTGAAAAAACTGGGTTACTTACCTGGATAACCAATTCCTTTGGCATTTGCATAGGGAACCCCAGAAGAACCAGGGCTGTACACAGGATTCATGATTTCAGTAACTAAATTGGGGAGAGAAAAAAAAAAAAAGAATTACTCAATCCACAGCTTGAAATCTCAGCAGCAAAGGGGAACCAGAAACGAAGGAAAGAGGATCATGCAATTCTACTACTCATACCAACATCTAAACTATAGCTACAAAGCAAGACAAGGTCATCGCAGAATTAAGTTTCAAAGCCTCATTAACCCTCCGTCAGCTAGAGAATCTCTCAAGTACAAAATATTCCCTGCTGTGGAGCACGCTTTGGAAGTTCTTCCACCCCTAGGTGCTCCCACAGGGCACAAATCCACTAACCGACTGCAGTAGTTCACAATCCTAGATTCTCCCTCTGTATGCACCTCCTATCAGCCTCCGTTTCGTTCCGTTTCTTGCTTTAATCTTCTAGCCAAGAGATGCAAATACTTATGTTCTACTACTACCGACACTGCGAGCCTGGGATTCCAGGCCTTTACCAGCACTAAATTCCTCCACCATCAACAGTTCAAGTATTAGAGAAGTAAGTGGAAAAAGATCTTCAGAATTAGAAAGCCAAGTAGTTTACTGAGGTTTACTTCTCAGTGACAAGTTGGTAGCTGGCTCCAGTCATTTCTGAAGTACGTATTCCCGAATTACCTATTTCCAAAGAGGCACCCATAATTAGCATTTTTGGCAAGAATAAAACTGAGCCCCCAGTGCTAAAAGCAGATCTTGTATGTAAACATTAAGGTAAGTAACAGGGCACTGACGATGCTGTCTCAAGTTTTTCTAGTAGGCCTAGTTATGGATAGAAATCACTGCACGACAGTTACAAGCAAGGCCATCACATGCCAGCATCCTGTCCACAATTGCTAACAGTTTAAAAAAAAAAAAAAAAAAAAAAAAATTAATCCCTTTATCTTCAGTCTTCTGATATTCTGAATATATTTACAGATCTACCTCTTCTTTTCCTGCTTACAAGTGCCAAATTTTCCACTAAAAGGAAAGCCTCTGATGGGAAGACAGGAGGGCATGCTGTCAAACTAGTCTTTCTTATTAACCACTAGTATCCGATATTTGAGTCGCTTCCCCTTCTATATCTTGAGATGCACAAGCTTACATATAGGAACAGGGTGCTAAGCAGTTTACACCACAGTTTTAAAAATTTTTTACATACATACAAAGTTTATGAGCAAAATAAACTTCATAATTATGCCTGTACTAGTTCAGTCACTGAATATGCTCCAACAGGAATCTAAGTTCATATCTTCCCCAATGAACCTCAGTTGAGTGAATGCATAAAGCATAACCAGTAAGTAGCAGTTTCCTTGTTAAAATGAGTAATATTAAAAACAGCTCTGTGGTTAAGATTTTTAGCAGTATCCAGTACACAATAGAAACAAAAGAAACATTTGTGCAACATGAGGAATTCAGAAAATAAATGTTTTCAGAAAGCTTATTGCCAGGTTTCACGCATACATACACAAAATCAAACTCAATGTACAAGAATTACAAGATTCAAACGTTTACTGGACTTGGGGGGGGGGGGGGGGGGTTAACCCAGCCAAGATTCAAAAAAACTTAAATAGTATTGCCCCTTCCCTCCCCAATCATACTTGATTGCATCATAGGACAATAAAATCCATTAAAAACTAGTTAAAAAAACAAGAACTTGTCATTTACATTGCCTAATATCAATAAAGTTCCCCAAAGCAGCATGTTTTCATTACCTGACCAGCAAGGAAAAAGCAGTTCAGCACAAATCTCTTTAGAAATACTCTACAACAAACCAGTCCTCTTTAAGTAGAGAGCCTTACTTCCCAGTGAAGCACAGTAGAGTTTGGAGTATTACATCTGTGTCTTAATCAGCCAGCCTAATATTTCACCGTAGCAGGTTAGGTTAGTTTTTTTTTTGTTTTTTTCCCCTCCCCCTCCATTCTTTGCATATCCTTTCTAAATGAGGACCTTCATTTACTTGAAAACTTAGTCTGTCCTCTTATCATCTCCCCTACGTTTCTTTCTCATTCCCATCTTTGCCCCTATTTCAACGTTGGCTTTGTCGCATTCTGCCTCTAAGCTTACAAAACTCATGAGAGGTCCAAGCTTCAATTCAATATTGGAATGTCTAAATCGTGGAATAAAGGTTTTATGGGAGATGGCTATACCTTTCAATTCAAATCTAAACAGCCTCCCTCCCTCACCATCCCCCTATAACTGTGCTGCTCCTTCTCCTTCAGTTGCTGCATTAGTTAGGAGGAAAGAAGACCCTGTAACCCTGCCACCATTTTGAATGGCAACAAAAAGAAGGAAAAAAAAGGGGGGGGGGGGGAGGCAACTAGAGAAACAGCAAGGGCATTCTGTGAATATTTGAGACAATATCAAAACAAACTCTCAGAAGTATCAGTAGTCAATGACTGCAGAAAAACATAAGGATAGACATTCCGTGAGATAACGTAAACTGAAGACATACCAAGTTGAGAAGCTACAGAAAATGGATAGACAAGGTCAGACAACTCCACCAAGACAATCTCAAAGAAGTGTAGGCTAAGAGAAAGGAATTCCTCTTAGGTAAGGGAATAAAACTGTGGCTTTAGGAGCCTGCAAGCTTTCTCTTACTGGAAAAAACAGTGGAGTGGAAAAAACAGCCACTCAACTTCCACTTCAGACGCATCTACACATGAAACTCACCAGCATGCACTTGAATTAGCATAACCACACCCTATATATTTATGCATAAACACCATGTCAGTCGGACAGGAGCGTGCTTTTTACCGCTATTGCTTTTACACTCTAGCTTTCACTAATGAAACACAAGTTGAGATCCACTAGTACAAAAAAAAAAAAAAAAACAAAGAAAAAAAAAAGGATGCTTGCAAGTTTTCCTAATGCAGACCAAGCTTCAGATCCAATACTAATTAAAAATAATTATTTTCAGATCTTCTGTGAAGGACCCAACATGTGCAGGTATAACTATATAGCATTATCCAGTGGTTGCAGTCATCCCATCCTTACCATAATTTTACTTGGAAGGGCATCTGTTATATTGAAATACGGAACCTTGCAAACCACTTTTCTGCCGTGCTTGAAATCCACATCAAACAGTAGGGGAACTAGTACAAACTGAACCCAAAGAAGCATGGTTTTCAACCTTTTTGTTGGCATCCCCCCCAAAGCATTCTCATGTTAATGTATATGTAAATAAAGGCCTACTGTGCATCACCTATATATAAATTACATATAGTCAACTGCACATGAATTACACCAAGTCAACTAACCATTTTTCCAGCTGAAGTGCAGGTAACCATACTTACTTAGGAGGTTCTGATTAAAGATCATTCAAGCACACTTGGAAAGTGTAAGCGCTTCGTATTCCATTCTTGCCAGGGCCAAAATATCAAATGCAGTTTTGATCAAACTTGCCAAATCTCATCTCGGGATAGCTATTAGGACACTCCTTCTCCTCTTAAACCCACGTTTCTGGAAGCTGAGCACAAAGGCCAACTGCTGCTAATGCTGAAGCTCTAGCAATCTGAATTTGGTGCACTTTTCATATAGCTGAACATGTTTCTAGAAGCTTTTATTTTCTAAAATTATTTTACATGCCCAAAAGACCACAGATCAATGCTAATACTGTAAAACAAACGGCGCATTCATTTGCAACAGGTGTATTTTCTCACTATTTATTTTCAAAATTGTGTGGAAAAACTGTGAGAACAAGACCTAGTGAATGCCACTTTGTGCTCATTTTATTACAGAATTCTAACCACAAGAGTTGGGGAAGAACATTCCCTCAATAAGTATCTTGCCAAAAGCAAACATACCGCAGCCCACTACTGTTTTCATTCTCAGAACTTGAGAAGACTCACTCTAAAAACAGTAAAGCATTTAACATCACTCCATCCCGGAGCAGCTTGAGAATGCTAACTGTTTGCTATGAAACCATACAAAGGACCCACTTGCCACTTAAATACAATTCCTTACCAGGCACAATGTTAATTACCATCCTAATAATGTTTCGCATTTTACCCATTTGCTTTCTAGTTAAAGCTTAATAGAGGTAAAACCCAACACCTAAAACTTCAGGAGTTTATAATCTAAAGAAATCAGTTCCACTGCTAAACAAGAATATAGTTCAAAACACTTCTGCTCTTCAAGTAACTAACACTGATTAAAGACTCAGTTCCGTCAGGATTCTGTCAAGACTTCAGCCCCCAAAAGATAAGCTTTGATGCAAATCCTGGGCTAAAGGACATGCACTTCTGTCACAATTACTTTAAATAAAGGGGCTCGTATCAGCAGAAATTCAAGACTTCGTTAGGTCTAAAACGGCACTTCCCACACTGCGTTCAATACCTGCAGGTAGAGCGGACTGCATTTCTTTCTCTCTTTCAGGACCTCAAAACAGGTCAACTGAATTTTGCTAGGAGCTAAATACCACCCTCTGTTCATAAAAGAGCATTGGTCTGTGGTGGTCGATGCTTGAATCAGTGCTTACACACTACTACCATACTTTCCCTTTCTGGCATGCAATCCCATTCCCTGCTTTGGGACAGCACTGGCACTCTAAACCCTTAAAATAAGCCAGGTCAGCTAAGTAGGTTGGCAGAATTCTGCTTTTCGTTGGGTTTTTTTGGGCAGAGGAGTTGCTGTGCCTTCCCCCCACGAACTTAAGAGAGCTGAAAAACATCACCAAATGGCCAAGAGAGAACCAGTTCCAACACAAGGAAGGGAACAGGAATGGATAGTGGCAGTACAGATTGAGGTTGTAGAGTCACAGCCTCGAAAAGGACAATGAACAACTCTGCTAAGTTCAGACATGAAGTAAAATACAAGGATGGAAAAGTCATTCATGTGCAAGTTTTCCTTCCTTGCTCTCAATTACAAGATGTTCTTTCCATGGAAGAGAAAGAATGAGACACCTGCAATCCCCCTTCTGTGGATTTTTTTTGTGTGCCTGTGTGTGCTTTTTTTTTTTTTTTTTCTTTTTGGTTTAAAGACTACAAAGGCATAGAGCTATTAAGAGACTTTTAATCAACAGAATTACCA